TCCTGGCCTCCGGGATTGGGTGCGGCCTACCTGGCTCTTTGCGCGCTTTTCGGCTGGGAATCGCGGTGGTATGAGTCCGGCCCACTCTCGGATCCAGGAGCCCTGCCGCTCCCGGAGAACTGGCTGCCTCTATTTTGCGATTTTTAAAAATTCATTTTAAATATTCTAATGGGATAGAAGGAGAAGGGAGATGAAGAAATATAAAGCAATACAAATTGTCGCTAGACTGATTAAGATGTGAAGGAAAAGAATGAGTCAAAGGCATACCTTGCCCACTCTGGTATCATTCCTCTGCAGGCAGTGTCTTTGACACTGAAGACTCAATGCTGTATCTCATGTCACTTAGGATCAGCACAGATTCCGTTCCATCTGACCAGAAAATCCAAAGCATAAAATAAAAGAGTATGAAAACAATGAGCATGCAAGGTAGAGAATCAGAAGTTACCACACCAGAGCAGTGGTAAAGAAACAAATATTCATCTTTTTTAAAATATACATTGAAAAAAACAAGAACTATACATGTAAAGTTTCAAGAGGTGGAAAGGAACCCTTCTGAAAGCACTTTCTTTCTGTGCTTTCTCCCCTTTTACCTTTAAAATGCTTCACACTAATTGATGATTATTAGGCTTTCCCAACCCTCCAGGAGACTTCTACCCAGACCAGCAAGCTTGTACTACATAGAGTTTGCTTGGAATCACACACACAAAAGATATTCTCCAGCTGAATACATCCTGTGTGCCTGAGCAGGGCTGTTGTCCTATCCCTTGTTTGCCTACTCAGATATACTAAGCCTGGCAGTGCAGAACCCTTCATATCCCCCTTTTCTCTCTCCCTTGCAAGTCCAAAAGGTCCTCAAGAATTCACATTATGCTTTCTTTCCTCCAAGCCTGCTCAGGTTCCTCCTAACCAGCCGTTAGTTCTCAAAAAGCCAGCCATTCTATAAGAGGGTCTGTGACTCCACATGGTAGTCCTAGTGTTACTAAAATGTTAGATGTTCTTTTTACTCTTTCTCTTGTGTACACAGAAGTATTTCCTGAGATTACGTGATGTGTGATGGTACAGGTGCTCTGATAACTAATGGAGTATGTATGTGTGTGTTTCCAGAATGTTTTAAGGTTATAGGTTGAGGACAGAGACACATGAACCTCATAGGTCAGCTCAGTTTTTGCTCAGTACATGGAAGTTTTACCAGCTACCCTCATTTTATACCATCTATAATCTGTGCTAACTTTTCTACTACATAATAAACTGCCTTTTTTTAAGCCCCAAGTTTCCTCATCTACTCAGGAGCACAATAAAAGCTAAACATATTTTTTGTCTTCTTGTTCAAAAGCAATTTTTTTATTTTTTAAACTTTTCTAAGTTTTATTTAAAGCATTATTTCAGAACTCTAAAAAGTTATTCTAAAATAAAAATCTTTTAAATATGCCTCTTTGGTATTTTAGGATAGATTGTTGGCTTAAAGGGAGAGATTGCGGATATTGAGTCCACACGCTGTTACGCCATCAACATCCATAACACTTTAAAAAAAAAGAATTATCATATCAGTATATCTAAACTGTACCAATAAATTTAATATTAAAACGAATCAAAGAGTTCTTAGCCTCCTGGAAGGAAAAACAGCTCCCACGAAAGTGAGAAAAACTGTAAATGATGAAGCTAAAATACAACACCAATTATCTCTTCCTTGGTTTCAGGGATGAAAATTTACTCCTTGCGCTTTATGCAGCAGAACACAGTTGACTTCTGTCTTGGTGCCAGTGGATCTGTGGTGTCATTCTACGATCCAGTGTGGAAAACACCAGCTGGGGAAGGGATCAGAATAACGGAGACTCTGCTAAATCTCCTACATTTGACACTTGCTGAATGCCTGCTGCCTGGGAGGCTAGTTCCTCATACCCTTGCCCTTTCCCCAAAACACGGTACCTTAATACATTAAAGATTAATCTGCAGACATAAAAATTGCGTTAGTATCTCCTCTGCAGAACTGCACTTTTGAATACAATTAAAGAAGCCCAAAGATATGAACAATCTTGTTGTTTTGCTTGATTTGTCCAGTATCATTGCCAACTAATGATCAAAGAAGATGTTTAATACAAGTGCTTGACAGCAAACAAAAGTTGCACTGAAATACTCAGTGTTGAATAACTTTTAAACATCTCGCATTTTATCCTGGACCAACTATGCTGACATTTGCACTGATGGTGCAATAGCACTAGCAAAGCTGATAGAACTGTTGTCATGGAGCATGGTGTAGCTCAGTCAAGGAAGTGACAGCAAACTCTACTGGTGGTCGTGTCTGATGTCACATGCTTGCTGGGAAAAATGCTATGTCAATTTGTCTTGCAAATGTCCTTTCTAAAGCAGGAAAAAGTAATGCTGTTATTAAATTTTGACTTTTGAGTGCCTGCCTCTTTAATAATCACTACAACAAAATGGGGACTATGCATAAAGTGCTTCTGCTGCAGACCAAAACCCAAGGAAAAGAACTTGCATGGATGAGCTCTGATCTGAGCCATATGAAAGCGTACCATCTTTACTGGTAAGAATGACTGGCTGTAACATTATGCTCATTTAGCTTTGTGTATTTGATAGCCATCTTCTTGAAAATGAGCGGAGTGAATCGTCACCTAAAGAGAAACAACCATCGGTAGTTGTTACTAATGACTTTCCCACTGAGGTTAGAGATTAATGAATGAGATTTTTACAAATAAAACCAATCAACAATTGGAAGATTTCCATGACTCAGTGGACTAATTTTTTCCAAGTAACCAGTGCAGAAAAACTACAAAAGGATACATGAATAAGGATATAATCAAAGTGCGTGATGGACGAATAGATTTCAACTTCGCAGGCCACAGATGTTCACTGCTGCTGCTGCACATACCCCAGCGCACTAACCTTTAGAAACTACCACTTGCTAGGGTCTGGGGACATAGTGAAGAAGAGCAGCTGGTACCTGGAAAGGCTTCCTCTTCTGATGAAATAGTTTTGTGATGCTTTTATCAAATACACTTTAACTACATTATGTTGTAGCAGATCAGATGAGAAGCAGGTAAGAGAATGCCATGTCTTCTATTTCACCACACAGGCAGAGGGCTGCAAAAATAATCATTACTCTACTCATTAAATATTTTGTGTTGGAAAACACCGGCCTTTTTAATTAAAATATGTTGCTTAATAGGCTGGGGCTGTAGCTCGGTGGTGAATGCACTGACGTGCAGAAGACCCTGGGGTCCATCTCCAGAGCCACAACCCCACACCTACTCCCCACACCCCATGTACTCACAGTCTAACATGTAGCGAGAGTGGCATTAATTGCTAAATGAACTAATAAATATTTTAAATTTTTTTCTATTTTCATTTCTGCCTTAATAAGGGTCAGTAAATATGACCCATTTAAGGTTCTACAACAAACTTTATGAAGGAAAAGAACCCTGAAACCCAAACCTTTAAGGATAGCTATTCCTATCTATTAAGAATCAAAAGTGTCCTTGAAGGTGTGTGCAGCCTGGCCTGCAGTCTTATGGCTGAAAAGAGAAAGGAGAGAGAGAAACCAATGACCGCCTTCAGACACTGCCCAGGTGCTCAAAAGAGTGTTCTCCTTCCTCCGTCCTTGGTCCATTCATCCTTGACTTCTCCCGCACAGAAGTGCCACTGCTGGTCCTGTGACCTTAGGAAGAAAATGGAGAAGAAATAATGAGCGTACTTTTTAATATCTTCTGGTGTTCTGCATTGTTCTATTTGTTCCTGACATTTTCACTTCTGCAGAAACCCATTCTGGCTGATATAGGGTCCAGAGGCCTTGTGATTGACAGAGAAGGGTTGAGCAGCCTAGGTTCGGATTCAGGCTCTACTCACCACCCTCTGTGTGGCTGTGGGCCAGCATGTCAGTAAGACAGAGACACAGTTCCGGCTCCTGTAGGAGATGGAGATGAACTCACTCACAAGAACATTGCTGGGTTTTCACAAAGCGTATATGTTACTCAGCACCCAGAACACTCAGCAAATTTTAGTTCTTCTCATTCTCCCACTGTGCTTTGACCTTGAATCCCACTCCCATTTCCTAGAGAACTAAAGAAGAGAGAACTGGGGAGACAGTGGAAATATGGTTTATGTTCCCAGAGAAGAGATGGCAGTTCTTGCCCCCTGCTTTCCTTCATCTCTACTCTCCAAACAAGGGAAGCTGGGAAAAGACGAGCTCCCTCCCTGTGCTTTATCTCTGACAGTCTCCAAGAAATGCTGCCTTTCTGGAGAAAGAAGATACTGCAAATGAAGCCCTGGGAGGCCCTCAGCCTGAACACTCCTGCTTTGGGCTAAAGCTGCTCTGGCTTTTGTCCCAATAAACTATAATGTTCTTACAAGACTCCTTCAGCCTAAGGCCCAGCATCAAACTGCTTCCCTGTCGAACAAGATGAGACATTTCGGAGACAGGCATATGGCGACTCTGGCAGACCTCCAAATGCATTGCTGAAACATGTGCATCCCATACATAGGACAGCAGGGGAGCCTGGTACTAATTGCATACTATCTCCGTCTCTACAAGTTGTGGGTGTCCAGCACCTGGTGAGGACCTGACCCAATTACTTGGACAGAACAGCACGAATGGGAACAAGAACTAGGCTGGAAACGAGATCCCAAAGCCAAGCCATGAAGTTGTTGCAATAAATGGTTTTGCAGGGAATCTGTTCCAAATCTTGGTGTTTATGGTTCCCTCTCCAGGAACGCCTCCCCACCAAGGGAAAAGAGCCATGTTTCATGTGGTGTCTTGCAACCCAATAAAGCAACCTCTTCCTAGTGCGGTCATGCTGACCCTGTGCTTCTCTGCAGGCATTAAGAACTATCCCTTCAGGAGGCCATTCGCCGCAGCTCTGGCACCTCTACTGGGAGGGGGCCTCCAAGCCTAGCAAGGATCATTTTTGTCTTATTGCCTCATTGATAAACTCTATTTTTTTTAATAAAATAAGTAAAATTTGAGAGATCTCATACAGTTTAGGGCAAAGAGGAGTTAACAGATGACTGCCTTTTTAAGCAATGGGATTCTAAATTTAAAAATTTAACTTTATCTACTTTTCTGAATCTCTAAATGAGCTCTCTAGCAGGATCTGCCTAGCCTCTATCTCTCAAGTAGAAGTTCAAAATTGTCATTCAAGCTATTCCTATTGGTAACGTTGGTCAGTTCTTGAATTTAGAACCAAACACAAACAATCAGCTCCTTTGGACTATGCCATGGTAAACGAGGAGCATTATGTGTGCCTTCTCCACCACCATCATGTCAGAAAGCACAGCGTGTAAAATATCCTCGGTGAGAGGGTTGTTAACAAACCTTACCCTCAGGTAGCCCCCCTGCTAAGAGAGTTCCAAATGAGCAAGGTGATAGAAAGCTGCATCAAAATGAAAGGTCAAACCAGGCTTTTAAAGGGCGACCACTGCAGGTACAAGAAGCTTAAACCACAAAGGGACAGCAGCGCAGTCAGATGTCACTCAGCTCCAATCTGATGCCGCACTTATTTCAGGGACAGGCTAGGAGGATAAATGACAAACTGGGAATATGGAATCTTAGCAAAGTGGCATTATAGTGGGGAAAGAGGTAACACTTTACACACAGCGTTGAAGAGGTTGTAGAATGTGCTACCTTTGCCAGAAGAGAAATGTGAAAATAAGAGCATGTGTACATATGTGTTCACTTTTTATGAAAAGAAAAAAATAGAAAGGATAACCCCGAAACTACTGAAAATAATTACCTCAAGAAGATTGTGTGGATAGAATGGAGGACATATAAGAAAGAATGAGGTTTCTTTTAATCTTTTGATATAGTTTTCACTTCGGAGCCATTCTAAGTTTACATATTCCAAAAATTAAAATAAATCACAGAGGATAGAGAAAGCAAACCTTGGAAATGCATGCAAACAGAAACAAATTATCCTAACTGCGTATCAAATGAAAACATACACATACTGAGAAAAGAATCATTTTGAGTAATTTGAATAGCATGGGAAATAAGAAGAAATGCAAAGAAATTGTGAAATTTACAACTCAGCTTGCTGACATTAGCGGTGTTAGTGTTGTCATTTTGAAACTATTTTGTGTGGGGTGTGTGTCAATGTGTAAGTAAATTAGTATTGTTAGGGAGCCAGGGCATTCATTGCCAGGGGGAGACAGAAAAATAGAATGACAGCAGCAGGGGAGAAATGCTGTGGTGCTGTACATGAATGAGACACTACATAAGGATCTTAGTCAACAGCAGCCCACCTATGCCATAATGGGCCTGTGTGATTGTATTACCTGCGACATCTTTGCCATCTGGTGAGCACCTTCTATGATGCCCACATTAAAATCACCTAACAACATGCTTCTTGGATATATATCCTGCTTGTTAAGTGATATCTGACTGTGTAAGAAGGAAATGGTGTGTGTGTGTTTGTGTGTGTGTGTGTGTGTGTGTGTGTGTGTGTGTGTGTGTGTGTGTTTCTATATAATACTTTCCATTAACAGGAAGCAAAAGTTCCATGAGAAGTGCTGATTCCAGGCCTTGGCAGTGAAGAACATGATACAACTTGTGCTAGATAAGAAGCACGTGTTCAAAGAGGGATGCAGACAGGTCAAAAAGACACAACAGCCACCTTGGAGGGGCCATCATGTCCAAACCTGGGGTAGCTGGGGATCACAAAAAACAGCAATGATAATAAACTACCACATTAAAAATGGAGAGGTTCAATCTTGATACCTAAAATACAGGAAGAAAAGGAGAAGGGGAGAGGAATGCAGAACAGACAGAGAGAGGAAGGGACAGCAGGGCAAGGGCTGGGGTGGATAGAAAAGGGGAGAAGGAAGGTACCACAAAGCTCCCAGTATCACTTACATCATATACCAGTGTTGGTCCACTTCCTGCAGGAGATGTTATATTGTGTACCAGTTTCTGCAAATGCCCTGAAAATATGCTTCATAATTAATTTTTTTTTCCTTTTTTTTTTGGTTTTTGGTTTTTTCCAGTACCAGGAATTGAACTCACGACATTGCGCTTGCCAGGCAGGCACTGTGCCGCTGAGCTAAATCCCCAGCCCCCTTATTTCTTTTTCATAACATTTTTATCTTTTCTGTAAAAGAAGATTACAGACATTCAAGCTATCCAAGAATCCAATTAATTAAAGTTTCAGTTTGCTTCTTTCATTACAGAATCATGAAGAAAATTTTAAAATATGTTTTATCAGTTCTGTAGGGTTACATAGCCATGTTCATCAATCAATTACTAATAAACTTAGGGCTTTGCATGGTGATATAAATTCCTCATATTTTAGATATGCATGGGAATGATTTAACTGAGAAATATTTGTAGCTTAGATGTGCCCTATTTCTTTAATCTGATTTTGTTAATGTCATAACAATTCGTAAGTGTTCAGGGGCTGTTATTTCTAAGACTGGTTGTATTTTCCTCTTCAAGCTTTATATTACACTATACGGCAAGATGCTGATCTCCAAACTGAGCAGTCAGGGTGAAAATTAGACAGACAGTACCAGCGTTGCTGTCTATGGGTAAAAATGCATTCCATTGTGCTGCCGTAGCCCAGGAATCTTACCTGTGACTCTATCCTGTGCATTGCGGGAAAGTTGGTGATATCCCTAGTCTCTAAGCACTAGACATTAATGGTATCCTCTACCCAAGTGAAAAGGAAACCATCAAAAATGTCTCCAGATATTGCTAAATATTCCCTGGGAGAGGAAGGAGGCAAGATGGCTTCAGGTTCAGAAGTGCTGTGGTCATCCAAATAAGGAACCAAATTAGAAACAATGAAATGAGATTAAAGCCTTCACCATCTCCAGTTTGGAAATTACAGCTTCCTTCTACAGAGAAAATGTGATGGGATAATGCTCACTCAAGCACTAGAGATATAGAATGTTCTCCTGATTCTGATGATTTCCTGTGCTTTTAACATCTGTGACTTCCCTGAGCCCTCCCTACCTGCCCTCAGAATCAGGGGCTACCCCAGCAACATACCAACACAGAGCAGCCTTGGCTACTCCAACAAAGTTAAGGTCATACCCTGGGTGGTTTAAACAACAGATTTTTTTTCTCACAGTTCTGGAGGCAGGGAAATCCGAAATCTCAAGGGCATGACCAGTTTGGCCTCTGATGAGGGCTCTCTTCCTGGCTTGCAGATGGAGATCTTCTCACTGTGTCCTCACTTGGCAGAGAATAAGAGAGGGGAAGTAAGGTCTCCGGTTTTTCTTGTTGTACTGACACTGATCCTACTATGAGAGCTTTACCCTTGTGACTTCATCAGAAGCTCATCACCTCCCAAGGCCTTATGTCCACATACCATCACATTGAGAGGCAGGGCTTCAAAACATGAATTGCGAGAGAGAGGGAAGATAAATAAAGAACCTATAACAATGTACAAGTGCATAAAAGACAGTAGCTTCTGAAATTATGAGAGAACTGACTTTTACGGATGCGGGCCGTGTGCTAAGCAATGTGAGAATTTGTTTAATTTTTACAATCCTCTGAGGTAACATCATTTCTTCTCATTTTACGAGAATAGGAAACTGGGGCTCCAGGAAGTAATATTCCCTAGATAACCATGCTGGTAAGTGGCAGCACACGGCCTGCTCACTCATTCACTACTCTGCCTTCTTCCTGAGAAGCAGTATTATCATTAGAGGCCAGTAGCCCTTCTGAGATCTTTACTATAAACTGATACAAATTCTACTGCATTACCTGATACTGAAACCTGAGTCCATGCATGTGTTACCAACAGTAACTATCTTTATTTAGAAAAATAGGTGGTCAGTATTTTATCTTGACAAATTATGATGTATTTCTCCTTCCTTTTCCCTTTCTTGCTAGTCTAATTCTTCTACCCTTCAAGCCCACTCCTGATCTTTGATTCCTTCCTACCATTCTTTACCGCACAATACATTAGGAAGTAGTTGCAATATTCACATGACAAAAAGTGATAGATACTACATGGTTTAAAGGTGTTTGTTCATGCAGCAGTATTAATTTTTAGTCACAGTTCTAGGATTTTCACAAGTTTCTATGACTTTGAACACTTTCAAGAACTTTCAGACTGGAATACTTTAGGACTTAGTATTTCCCAAACTCAAATTTTACCATATTCCATATATTGGTCTCCAGGTGTCCAAACCAAAGTTTAGTATGTTTGTATTTTAAGGTGTTGACATAGAGATTTAAATGCGTATACACACATATACATGTACCCACATGCACACATTTGTCCTAAGAGCCAATATTCAGCACATGGAGCCAAAATGCAACCAGGAATTGAGTAGCAAACTTCACCCACAACATAAAGTGCTTTTTAAGCACAGGAGGAGAGGGAGACACTTCTTTTTGCTTTTCTTTTTAGATCAATGCAGAAAAAAGTGTGAGTGAAACAACACCAGAAGCCCAGAGAATGGTGGTTTGCACAGTCACTGAGAGGGCCATCAACTTCCAATCCTGGTTCTTGAGCCTCAGCGTTTGCAAAGCACCTGCGAGTGTCTGGACTGAACCAGACACCGGTGAGAAGGAAACCAGAACACCACTGGGGCTGCAAGACCACCAGTTGCTCCTCCACCTTGTTCCATCTGTGAGTGACGGTGTGGATTACCCACGCATTTCTGTGAGCAAAGGAATGGTTTGACAGTAAGGCAGAGGTTCCCTGCTTCCATCCAGACCTTTGGAGTTGGTTTTTGGCAGAGTGTGACTGAAGGGACCCAAGAAGATGCTATACTCTGAGTGAGATCATAAAATGGAATTTTTACTACCGAAGAGTACCTGAGCATACCTGATTCCTGGAAAGACCCTCGGTATCAAAACAGCAGTTGTCAGTGAAGGAGAATGAGAAAGATAGGAAGCATGGGGTGGGGGACCTGTATGTAGGGCAGGGAAGTTAGCAAGGTCTTTACCAGCAGAGTAAGTGCTCAGTCCAAGTGCTCTGATCCCTTCCTGAGGGTGCAGAACATTTTCATGGAAGCAAAACAACATTACTGCCCAGGGGACTGGAAGCTTAGCAAATCTTCAACCCTCAAGTTTAGAGTGCTGCTAATCCAGCTATTTGCCTTTAAGCAAATCACTCCACATCTGTTATAAATTTCTTTCATCCTTAAAACTAGTTTGTAGTTACTCCAGACATACAAAGCCACCTTATCTTTGACAAAAGTGCCGAACACATTCACTGGAAGACAGATAGCCTCTTTAATAATTGGTGGGGAAAAACTGGTTCTGCACATGCCAAAGATTAAAATTAGACCCATATCTTTCA